CCTTCTTCTTCTTTTCCGAATTACCAACTATGATGTCCCCTAGAGACAAAACAATCTCTTTGATTGCTGGCATTTAATAAACCACCAACACAGGTTTTCCAATTAAATCAAGAGGCTGTCTGTCAAAGGGTATCTGGCATAGCTGAATTGCTGCCATGTATGACAGCTTTTCGTTCTGTTTTTTTTTTAATAGTGGTTACCTTCTTCCATATCTATCTATCTATCTATCTATCTATCTATCTATCTATCTATCTAACATCTATCTACCTATCTATCTATCTATCTATCTATCTATCTATCTATCTATCTATCTAACATCTATCTATCTATCTATCTATCTATCTATCAACATCTATCTATCTATCTAACATCTATCTATCTATCTATCTATCTATCTATCTATCTATCTATCTATCTGTGGTAATGGGGCTTGAACCTAAGGTCATATACACACAGGCAATCTCTCTACAACTGAGCTCGAACCCCAGTTTTCTTTTTTCTGTAATAGTTTGAGACAGGGTCTCTTCAAATTGCCTTGACTCTGCAATCCTGCTCCCTCAATCTCCTTGAGTAGCTGGGATTCTAGGCCTGTGCCACCATGTCTGCTGCTGCCACTCTATTTATTGGAAGCTTTCTTTGATGAAAATACTTAGAATGATGTTGATAAACTGAGAGTCTGGTATCCAAAGGAATTATATGCTTTCCCACTTTTAAATCTAGAGGATACAGGAAAAAAAACAACAGCATTAACTCGGTTTGTGTTTTCGTTCTTAATTGCTCACAAAATGACTCTGGAAATAACAGTTTCTGCCCAGCTCTCGCCTCACAAAACAAATGGTCTCCTTGGAGATATCCCAAGGGCCTTATCCGGGAGGTCTCGAAGGAAGAGAAGTTCAAAATAAGACCTCAGTCTTTGACAATCCTCTGGCCCTGCTTTGAACCCTGCCTGACTATTCTTTCTTTCGTTCATTTTATCTGCCCAAGACTGATCCCAGAACAAGGAATCTAGGTTCACCTGCCGTCCATGGGGGGCCTGTTCACATTAGGGCCGGAGAAACTTACTGAAGCGGAAAACCAGTTTTGACTCTCCCTCACAGAGTTTGATACTGTGCCTAGAGCACCTTTCATTCCACAGAAATTACAAGGGCATGAATAATCTTTGAAATTATGTATTTGAAGAGCAGCCATGGAGACATTCCCCCTGGAATGTCAGTCCGGTGAGTGTGATTCAGAGTCATCCGAAAGAAACAGGAGGCCGGGCCGTGGTGGCACACGCCCTTAATCCCAGCACTCGGGAGGTATCTACGTTTCTACAGAGTTCCAGGACAGTTAGGGCTGCACAGAAAGACCATGTCTCGAAAAACCAAAACAAGCAAATAGAAAAAGAAGTTTGAAATGTTAATCCCCACCCCCGCTTGCCTGTAGCAAATGGCTACGAAAAGCCATACGCTTGTGCTAAACCCTGTTACCAAACCCGGCGCTAGGCTTACTCTGCAGCTCGAGGAGCCCATCTGTGGCACTGTTGTGTGTGGTGGTGAGTAACGTCGGAGGTGTGGGAAGTGAGCTCTGGGGCCTTCCCCTCACACCCTGGCCCTCTTGGCGTACCTTCCAGGACACATGGACCGCTTTTAGTCTGAGGGTGGCATCAGTGGAAGGGCCTGCAGCGTCCTCACATGGACCCTGGTTGTCAGGTCAGCTCGTGAGTGGGGTCCAGAGTGCAGGCAACGGTAGGTGCCCTCCTCGGACCCTGCCTCACTCCGGCCGCCTCTCTCTCCTTATCTCAGAGCAGAGGCTTGTGCTGTGTGGTGATCTTCTTCACCAGCGTGGGAGGCTCCCAGGAGGAGGAGAGGAACAGCCTCACACTTTACTTACAGTCGGCCTGGACTGCGGGGGAGTCACGCACGGCGTGTCTCACAGCCGCACGGACCACGGCTCGTCTCCCCTGTGGTTCTCTCCTTGATTAAATGTGTGTGTGAGTGTGTAGCATTGGTGCTTATTTGTATACGCGTCTTGCACATTGTTTCTGAGCCCTCTTCCAAGTCCTCTCTTTCCAGCCTCCTCCTCCTCCTTCCTGTCAGGGAGTAGACCACACAGCCTAGATTGTTGTGTCTCCTGGAGAGAGCAGGAGCACATTTTACTGCACCAGCTAACATCTTTGGATACGAAGAATTACACAAAATCAATACTAAATATTAAAAAAACAACACCTGTGAATGTTCTTTAGTTAATTCTTCAAACGTCTTTCAAACTAGAATTAAGTTTGTTTGGATAATTCTCATTTTGTGCACCTGAATTTGAACTAATGTTCAGGGCAGAGATTATGTTTTCTTTATTTTTGGATTCCACGCTGATCTATCTAATAAAAAGCCACCAGTTAAAAATATACAAGGCTATTCAAATTGTATTGAAAATCCAGGAATTTTTATTGTATTAGACTATTTACTTTTAATAAAGAAATAAACAATAAAAATTATTAAACATGATCTATATTTCCAAAACTTTGAGTAAAAAATTCATTATAGCTGGGTGGTGCCTTTAATCTCAGCACTCAGGAGGCAGAGACAGGCAGAGCTCTGAGTTTGAGGCCAGCCTGGTCTACAGAGCAAGTTCCAGGACAGCCAGGGCTATACAGAGAAAATTTGTTAAAAAAAAAAAGAGAATTTATTATTTTGAGAAAATCATTTTACCTAAATCAGATTGGAATTTTTTTTGAGATTCTATCTTAATTACTGGTGAGGGCATAACTCTTTATTATTAATAATATTTGATGTTTCTGGTTTTATGGCTTTAGCATCTGCATACTTTCTGATTTGTCTGAATAAGAAAGCATTTTATATATTTTCGAAATATTTATTTATTTAATTGTGCGTGTGTGTTTGTATGGTGTGTGAGTGTATGTGTGTGTATGGTGTGAGTGTGTGTGTATGGTGTGTGTGTGTGTGTGTGTGTGTGTGTCTTGCTGTACAGGCCAGGCTGGCCTCAAGCTTTAGGTCCGCCTCTGCTTTTCAAGAGTTAAGATTGCTGGAGTGAGCCACCATGTCCAGTGGTGACCTATACTTGTATGTGCAGGCATGTGGACAAGTTAGGTCAAAGGGTACCACTTCAGAATCAGTTCTCTTGCGGGACCTGGGCATTGAACTCAAGATGAACGCAGAGGAATACGTAGAGGATACCCACTGAGCCATCGACTGGCCCAGTTGTGTCTTTGTATGCACTGCATGCTAAAGCATACTCTTGTAACCTTTATTTTAAGTACGGATGAGTCAACACCAGCAGATACTTCACTGTTATGATTTTAGGCTCAGGGGAAATTAGAATGATAAGTTTTCATGATAGTTGGGGTGGATCAAGCAGCCATAGTTGACAGGTTTCCTTTGTCTAGTGAAATACATTTGAGAAAGTCAGTGCTCACGGGACTAGAGTCCGCTGGGTTACTGAGGTGTAACTGAGGACAGTCTTTCATTTCCCCCCTATTCAAATGTCTGTTTTAATCAACCAACAAGCTCCTGAGATAGTTTTGGAAAATTGGTTTCATTTTCTGTTTTTGATCATTTATTTATTTATTTATTTATTTATCTATTTATTTATTTATTTATTTTGAGGCAGGGTTTCTCTATGTAGTCCTGGCTGTCCTGGAACTTGTTCGAGACCAGGCTGCCCTCAGACTCACAGGGATCCTCCTCCTCCTGCCTCTCGAGTACTTGGAGTAAAGGCATGAGCCACTAGGCCCATCTTTTTAGTTTATTTTTAAGCTCATCATAAAAACAAACAAACAAACAAACAAACAAACAAAAAACAGTTGTAACTGTAGGCACTGGCTGATGGTCCACGGGATCCAGTGATGAGCAAGATGCCAAGTGGACCGTCCCTCTGTAATGAAAGCCCTTGGAAGGAGAAGGGCTTTTCTTCGTGTTCCAATCGTACTTTACTGGAAATAAATATACCCTTGAGCTGAAAACTCTTGCTTAGTGGAGCTGTTTTATGATACTCTACTAAGAGTTCTTTTTAATTACGAAACAAAACAAAATTTAAAATTGGGATACACGACTCTCCCGTATGAAACAATTTTGTTAATGATAGCTGAAGTACAGCTGAAAACTCCTAACGGCACATGTCTGAAATCCTAGCACCTGGAGGCTGAGGCAGGAGAGCTGAGAATTTGAGACCAGCCTAAGCTATATTGTAAGTTTGAAGCTACTTTGGCTCATGTGAATCTTTGCCTCAAAACAAACAAACAAACAAACAAACAACAAGCCAGAAAGTTAAGACTATTTTGAAAGTAGTAATAAAGGCCAGCCAATCACACTGGAGAACTATTTCAGAACAACAAAAAAATACATCTCTTATCTTTGATAACAAACCTTTCACTCCAAGGCCAGTCAAGTTTAGAAATGGGTCCAGAGACTCAGATCTGAATTAAAACCACAGGTAGGAAACAGATATTTAAGATCTGCAAGTACCAGCTTCAACTGACCACAAAGGATCAGATGGTCTCCATGGAGACACATATTTTAAGGTATAAGAGTATGGGACAAACTAAGGTGGGTTTTTTTTCTTTTTTTTTATTATTTTTTTATTTTTTTATTTTATTTTATTTTTTTTCTTATCAGTTACAGGTTTTTTTTCTGTCTGTTGTTTTTTTTTTTTTTTCGAGACAGGATTTCTCTGTGTAGTCTTGGCTGTCCTGGACTAACTTCGTAGATGAGGCTGGTCTTAAACTCACAGAGATTTGCCTGCCTCTGCCTCCCAGAGTACTAGGATTATAGGCATGCATCGCTGAGCCTGGCTCAAAGTAAATTTTTTGGATACCTTTGTACATCAGTTTAGCTTTCTACAGGGCATAGACTGTCTCTAATTCAAACCATGGTCTTTGGTTGTAGCTTGCATCACTGAAGTTGACCATCTTTGAGGGCAAGAAGATTCAAGCTGGGCACCTAAGGCAGTGGACTGTACTGACTACTCATTTAGCTTTTTTATGTTTACTTTGACTTTTTTCTTACCTGGTACAAGTTGGCAAGGTGGTGATTAGTTTTGATCAAAAATGGCTGGTTGACCCCTGGGTGGTCGACGTCGTGAGCCGCTGCAGCCAGTAGTCCAAGCATGATGTCCAGAGGCGTGAGGAAGCTGGCCAGCTGTTAAAACACAAAACCCAGAGCTTGATTGTTATTGCTGATAGTGAGGCGACAGGCACACAGAACTGCAGGAGCAAGACAGAGGGCAGTGTGGAGGTCACTGGGCCAACACAACCTGTCCTCTCCTACAGGCTTTCCCTCCTGATAACATCCTTTGCTGCAGTGACATAGCTTGTGGGCAACACTGATGACTGATGGGCAGGAGAAGCAGGGAAGCCAGCCTCACTCATAGAGAAAGTTGCAAATGAAGGAACAAGTTAGTCAAAGGAATAAACAGACTTAAATAATCACCAGTGTTTCTTTGTTTAAAACACTCATTTAAAAATGTTACTATTCTCTCTCTCTCTCTCTCTCTCTCTCTCTCTCTCTCTCTCTCTCTGGGTATGTGCAGGCGTATGCATCCCATGGCATGTGTGTGACCTCCACTGTGGGATCTGGGGACTGAACTTAGATTTCCAGGCTTTTGTGGCAAGTGCTTTTACCTATTAAGTATTTTATCTGCCTGCCCTTAATCCCCCCCTGACCCTCCCTTTTAAAAGCCTGTATCTGGGGTTGAACCTAGGGCCTCATACATGTTTGTCAGGCACATTACAACTAAATTTGGGCCCCAGTTCCGGTGTATTTTAACTGATGTCCATCTTTGCCACTTCTTTGAAAGAAGTAAATTAACTGCAGAATTTGCATACTTCCCCAGTGTGGAACAAATGGTGAGGGAATGTATGGGAATCTTTAAATTTTTGTCAGCGAGGAAAACAAACAGGAAAATGGGGAGCCTGCTTTAAAAGTAAAGTGTGTGATGTAAATTTTAGATGACTCAGAGATTAGAAAGGCCTTTGGTTTACAGGTATGGAGCATCCTTTCAGAGCTATCCAGGCGCCTATGTGACATCTCTGTGTTCAGTGGCTTTTGCTGAAGCATCTGCATATTTAATAAATTACTGAAATGGATTGAACTAAGCAGACTCTGAAAATTATTTTTAAAAAAACCCTCAAGAAAATTCCTACTATATATTATACCGAAACCAAAATTTTTGAGTAACTGCCTTGATGGAGACAACCATGACGTTACACTACCATTATGTCTTTACCCTGACTTTGGGTTGGCTCTTTGCACCAGCGGATGCTTGCTAGGAGAACTTGGACATTCACCGGTTTTCTTGGATTCTGAGTCAAAAATCTCCCATTAGCCAAGTAGAAATAGGACTTGAAACTAGAGCTCTGACCCCATTTATTGGTCAAAACCCACAAGCTGGGAAGCCTTTTCCAGGAAAGCTCAGTGCTAACGGTGTGTATGTGGTTAAGGTCCGTCGCACAAGTGCTGGTCTTTGGGACCACCGAGGATACACAAGAGGTGGCCTGGGTTTTTTCTGGCCTCATGCAGCCCTGAAAAATCAATAAACTATGGAAGGAAATTTTGGAAAATCCGCATCTCTCTTCATGGACGTGGTAAGGTAGGTCCTAGGGCTGACACTGGAAACGTTAGTCTGAAGAATTTGCATTCCTGTCGTGAAGGATTCCCAACACTGGGGAATCTGGGGCTTAGCAATTTGCTGACTTGGCATCTCCACATGGCTGAGCAGGCACCTGGGTCTTGCTTTACCTTTGGCTCCTTCAGGTAACAGTGCATGGCCTGGGTGACGTCAGCTGCGTGGACAGCGTTGTGGTATGGGTTGTGACCATGGTAATCTTCCTGAACCATGACTAGGAGGAAAATAGAAAACCTAGTCAGCCAAAAGCGAAACAAGAATCACATAGCAGGTTAGACTTATTTGAGGTGCTTTTTGCTCAAAAGAATCAGAGCTTCCAAAGTGCACGCCTCAGGGGTCGTTCAAATGAGGTGGCTTGCAAGCCTTGTACCACAACTGGGCTGTTAGCAATGGGGAGGAAAGGGAGAGAAAGGCCAGAAGGGTTCATGAAGCTCTTGGGCTTTCTTCCCTCTTCCATAAATCACTCCTTTCTGGCTTTTCATAAAGGCTCTCACGGACAGGAAAAACAAATTTGGAGGAAAAAGGACAACTTTACTTCACACCATCGTTTAATTATCTATGTTTGCCGCCCTTTATTAACAGCATGCTGTAGATGATGCTTGCTGTCATAGCCTTGTATGCTAGATTCCTGCTATCTAGTGACTGGATTACCTTGAGTAACAAACACTCACGACAAATCTAGGCCTCCGATAGTTAGCTATTACAAGGGTGCACTGATCCAAATGAGGCCTCCATGGTTCATGTCTCCTCTGTCCAGAGCCTCATCTTTCATGCCCCTCCAGCGCAATGCAAGGCTTAGAGTGCCATGTCCAACAATAGGCAATTTAGTTTTGGTTTGTTGCTTACAGAAGCAATAACCAAGTCGATGCTAAGGATGCAATATATTCAGTGCATTTAGAATGTCCGGACTTAAAATAGCCATATCCTTTTAGCCTATGCTACGAATCAGGCTTCAGGTTCTGCTGTTAATTCGGCTGTCAAGGCTGTTTTTCTTGTATGTTCTGGGGGCACATATACTTGTCCAAAGAATCTGTATCTCTTCAGAGCAATCAAAATTATTTGGCTCTTCTCTTGTCTATTACTTTGCTCAAGCGATTAAAAACAAATCACCCTGAGGTTGCTTATGATCCTGGAAAGGAGCCAGGCTGTGGCTGGTTTCACAGATTTTTACTATACTGTGTGTCTTTTTATTCAGTAGGCTTGTTTCATATCATATGTAAACTCTGGCTCTGTCACTTATCTGTGATGTGCAAATTACTTGACCACACTCCTCAGCTTTCTTCCCTGACTTTGGGATGACAATAGTGTGAGTCCAAGTGTCTTTGCATGACTCATCTATGAATGTATGCACGTCCCTAAAAGAGGACCCAGGAGATGAACATGCAGTGTGAGCCTGGTGGCTCATGCTGCTTTCATCCTCTTCCTGATGGCACCGAGTCAACTTCCAAATTCATAGAACAGCCACATGGCAAGTCAAAAACTTGGAGATGCCCTACACGGCAGAGGCAAGCCATCTGGTGATGAGACCCTACCTCGGACAAATCAGGTGGGGAGATGAGCACAATCACAGAACCAAAGGAAAACTGGGGCTGTTTTTAGAGAAAGAATGATGGCAGCATCACGCGTGAAGTTGGTGGGCTTAGACCTGTGTGTGAACTGAGGCTCTGTCACTTGCTAGTAATTAGCCTTGGGAAAGTCATGAAACCTCTTGGGTATTCTCTTTAACTGTGGTATAAATGGTGATAATAATGTCCAACTTTTGAGTGTCTTCAAATAATTAGACATGATTTACCTAAAGTATTCCGCCTATAGCGAGTGGTATGTGAATAGTGGTTACAATTCATTTTAAAGACTTTCAGCCACTCATGTTGTGGCTAGAGTTTCCTGGGGGCATATCTCATTGGAATTTTCTTAGTATGGGAGCATTGTGAAGAATTGTCTTCACACCTATGCATCCTTGGTAGTTTTCTTTATAGATCGTTAATGTGTTGGAAACATAACACATTAACCTAATAGCTTATCAATGACTTAGGTCAGGTATGTTATATTTAAAAACTAAGATTAATTCCTTTAAGACTGATATGAGGTCTTTTTATAGAAAAAAGACATAGCATGCCATGGCTCTTAACACTTTATTTACAATTATTTCTGGTTTTTTTTGAGGTTATAAAATATTTACATCCTTTCCCCCTTCCTTGTTCTCTCTCTTGACTCTTGCATATACTTCTCCCTGCTCTCTTTCAAATTCTTACACACACACATACATACGTACCCCTAAGAGCACAAAAACAGCCTGCTCAGTCTGTAAATGTTCCTGTGTGTGTGTTCTCAGGGCTGACTATTTGGGGTTGAAGAACCGAGTAGCATACTCTTCCCTGGAGAAGACTGCTTCTCCCCTTCCCAACATTCCTTAGTTGCCTATTGCTCTTTGTGTAGGGCGAGACCTTGTGGGATCGCCCCCACATCATGTTTGCTGTTGTCCTTGTTCAGCTCACGTTTCTTGACACTTGCAATCAAAGAGTTATGAGTTGTCCTTATTACTGTGGCTGTGTAGGAACAAGACAGAGAAAAGACTTACCCAAAAACCTGTGCAGGGTCACCATATCCAGCTTGAAGTGGTGGATGAGTCCATGGGTGTTGAAGAGGTGACACAATAGAGTTACCAGACTGTTGCCTGGAGAGAAATAGGACACATTTTAGTTTTATTAAAACAAAACAAAACAAAACAAAACAAAACTCTAGCAAGATTGAAAATAAGATTTAAATTCTCTGAAATAAGGTTTCTCTGATAGAATATTTCCTCACGTTTGATTTGAAATTAGATAGACTACCATCTTTTTTTGGGGGGTGTTCTATCATATAAATAAAATTAGTTCTCATCTTTTTATACCAAAGGAAAATAAATGACTAAATTAAAGGAATTTGTCTGTTGAGCATGTGTGTGATTTTAAAAACACACAGCCCCTTGAAATATGCTTCAAGTCCCTTCCAACTGACTTTTTGCTGTAGAGCTATTTAAGTCACTCACTGCTCAACCACAGTTGCCTGTTCTTCCTATGACACTTGTCCAAGAGAAAACTGACTTTGAGATATTTCACAATTCAGGCAAGAAGGGCTGAAAAATTAAAGCTATAATAACATTAGCATTCAAGAGTCTTTATCTATCCAAGAATAAGTATGTTGAATTTTAATTAATTAGTTTATTTATTATTGAACTAGCTCTCACTTTATGTAGCTCAGGCTAGCCTCAAATTCATGTTCCACTAGCCCCTGCTTCTCAAGCGTCACCATGCCTGGCTGACAAGCAATATTAATAGTTCAAGGAAGTATTACAGAGTTTCCTTAAGACTTTGCAATGGATTGACTGCCCACATTTCTTCAGTGGAATCTTTTAGGGTACCTGACTTAGTTGATTTCCACAAATTTCACTGCCTTGGAGCTATTTTTGAACTCTCCAAGTTAGAGATAATGAGTAACACTGCAAATGATTTTTGTCCATAGACATTTAACTGAAGCTAGTCTGGTGGCCTTTCACAGCTGTATATAAGTGAGTTTTAGTGTGTCTTTCTGTGCGTGTGTTTCTTTTTTCTTTTTTAATATTAGTTACAGATTATTAACTTTGTATCCCAGCTGTACCCCAGTCCCTTATTCCCTCCCAATCCCACCCTCCCTCCCTCATCTCCTCCTTGTCCCTTTCCAAGTCCACTGATAGGGGAGCACTTCCTCCCTCCTCCCCTTTCATATGACCCTGGTTTATCAGGACTGGCTGCAAAATCCTCCTCTGTGGCCTAGCAGGCCTGCTCCTCCCTCGGGGGTAGGGGGGAGGTCAAAGAGCCAGCCACTGAGTTCATGTTAGAAATAGTCCCTGTTCCCCTTACTAGGGTACCCACTTGGTTACTGAGCTACCATGGGCTACATCTGAGCAGGGGTTCTAGGTTATATCCATACATAGCCCTTGATTGGAGGTGTGTGTGTTTCTTTAAGGTCTACTTTTGAACTGTTGTGGTAGGCTAGCGGCCTGCTAATGAACTTAGATAAACAAAAATCTTTGATGGCTTCGTTTCATGTTTCTGTAAACAGTCATGATTATGCCTTTTTTTTTTTTTCAAATACCACTTAAGTTTTTGTTTTTGTTTTGTTCACAGATAATTTTACGTATCCATACCCATGTCCAGCTGATCCAGTAAGAGCTACGCAACAGTACGGACTTCAGGACTCCACGCTTATCCTATAAATTTTAGTTAGCTTTCCATAGAGTGAAAATGCAGGTCATGATCTTACAGTGCTTGTCTCTTACAGCACATTGCTTGCCAACTCAAACGGTGTTGAGAAAGCCGTGGGCAAGGACTTAATGCACAAATGAGACCGATGATGGGTCAGACCAACAGCAATGTCAAATGATGCTTTCGCTAGCCTACGTTTATCTACAGTTTTCAAATGGGTTTGATTATTTTGTTAGGTAGAGCTTTCATAGACCCAAGAATATGAAGAGAAAACTCAATGGGAGTGCTTAGTTTTCAGCTACAGCCTAAGCTTTTACATTCTCTCCTTGGCAATTGCTTCCTTCTGATGATGCCAAACTTACTCGAGGGCCCATAGTATCCCTTAAGAAGCTGTGATAAGCACCTTGCCTGTAAGAGTCTGGTTTGATGTGCTTTTGTGTGTTCATGTTTCACCGACATTTGGACACAACCAAAGCATCCTGGGAGGAAAGAATGCAATCAGTGGTTTCCTAATTCTTTTGGGATCACGGGTCAGCAGGAAACCAGCCTAACACACTGAGGTCAAACTCAGTCCTCATTCTTCATCTCGATTAATTTTCCCTCCCCGGTCTGTCTTGACTGACAACAGATTTATGAGAGTGGGAAAAGAAGGAAGAAAAAAGCAATTTGTCTAAAAATACAATTTGTTTCTCATGAAATGAATCCACTTCACGGTGTGTATTTTAGTGAGAATTCTTTGGGGGTAACTTACCATTTGTCAAGCGATCGAACAAGAAAATGTCAAAGTCCCACGTTCCAACTTTGGAGAGCATATGCTGAGAAGGAAACAGAAAGCAATGCCCAAATGAAGCGCGTCGAGACCCAAACATTCAGCATAGACGCGGTGATTTACACAAATAAAAAGCTGGAAACAGTAACATACTCCTCTACGTGCAATGGGCTTGGAGTAAACTGGCTTCTACTCCGTTCACTCATGAAGTTAAACTGCCTGGTCTAATATCAGCCACTTTTCTTCCTGGCTGTTGGACCTTGGTTACACCCTTGACTTCTCCAATCCTCATCTGAAAATGTGGCTGGTATTATCTGCATCAGAGGGTTGTTCGTAGACATGGAGAGAGGTAGTGGTGTGTACTCGAAGTGCCTGTCACAGTGCGTAGTCACAGGTGGAGGTGTTTGTTAAGCCAAGGTGTGTACTGAAGGGAGAAGCTTTGCAACATTTTTTTTTTTTTCTGTCTGCCTTTGTGGTGTTTGGGATTAAACTCAGGATCTTGTGCATTCCAGACAAGCACTTTACCACTGAGCTCCAGCCCTTGTTCTTATAATAAAAAATTAAAGACAAATTGAAAACCGTTGTTGAGCACATTGTTTTGCTCAATGTGGCCTGCATGTAAAATTAACTGTATAGGAAATTGAAAAGTGAGTAGCTGAACATACTAGATAATTTAAAGACTTACTGTGTATAATGCAGACTGATTTTTTAAATTAGAAAATAAGCCCTGTGAAGAATTCAATGTGACATAAAGTTTGCCATGGTTGATCCTCTCTTTACCATAGTCCCTACAATTTCACCTATCTCTCTATGAAGACACAGCCACTAATGCATGGTCCTCTCTGCCCTTGAGTGGTTCTGTGTGCTGTGAAAACTTCAGTGCTCAGCCTTCACGGTCTGTTAAATAACAAAGGGAGGCCTGTCTGTTTGGAGTGAGCCTTTACCCAAATCATAGACTCTCAAAAGCAAACTCAGGCCCTGTCTTCTGTCAGGCAGACTTCTGGTCCATTTTCCTTCTATATCTTAGCATTACCTTTTAAAAATGTGTCTGCTTAGAGGAGAGATGCCATCATGAATGCTCTGTCATTGCAATGTTAGAAGAACTTATTGATCTCCCTTTCAACAAATCAGCCAACTATCCATTACCTAGTCAACCACCTACCAACCAACATCTACCAGTTAAACAGCAATCACACATGAACACTAAACCAACTGACCAACCACCAGTCAACCACCAACTACCAACCAACTCATCAACCAACCACCACCAACCAACCAACTCATCAACCAACCACCAACCAACCAAACAACTAATCAACCAACCACCAACAACCAACCAACTCATCAACCAACCATCAACAACCAACCAACTCATCAACCAACCACCAACTACCAACCAACTCATCAAACAACCACCAACAACCAACCAACTCATCAACCAACCACCAACCAACCAAACAACTCATCAACCAACCACCACCAACCAACCAAGTAATACACCAGCCACCAACTACCAACCACCTAATAAGTCAACCACCAAATCATCCAACCACCAACTAACTTATCAACAACTACCAATCAAGTAAACAACTCACCACCAATCAACCAACTTATCAACAACTACCAAACAAGTAATCCACCACCTACTAACCAACCCCTTGATTCATTCAGTTTCATCCTTACGTTGTTGTAAGGTATAATTAACTTTTATCCTTTTATAGACAGAATATTGGGAGTTGGTTCCTCCGACACTATTTATTATTGATTTTTTAGTGGCATATATCCTTGTATGGAGATACTATGTACCACGTAAGCTACAAATTTTGACCTGTTGAAGTGGTGGCAGTTTACTCCTGAAATTTAAATTCCTTTGGCAACTTAAGCTACAAGTCACTTGGAAATTGTTTTTTTTAACAATCACGCATTGAGTTCTATCTCATTAGATCAATGTAGAGTGGAAATAATGTATTATTAAAAGCTTTTGGAATGACTTAAAAACAACAACAGGCTAATAGCCTAATGTAGCATTAAGAGCTGATAGTTACTGGAGGTGTTTTCAGTTGCCATTACACAAGACAATTTAATGTATTTAAAAATATAGCCACACCCTAATTAGTAGTCTTTCAGACCAAGACTTTATTTTGTTTAGCACTGTATAAATAAATTCTATAGACTTTTCAAAGTGAAAATAGCTAATGTGTATTTGTCATATTATTAAGCATGGGGACATGCTTTACCTCAGGATTGGGTGTGTAGCTCAGTGGTGGGGCAGTACTTACTTAGCTTGCATAAGCCCTGGGTTTAATCCCCAGTACCCCCTACCCTACAACTACAGTGACTCCATGTTATATCTAGAAAATCTTCAATTACCTCTGTGAGGTACCTGTTTCTATTACCTCTATTTCGTGTTTGAGAAAACAAATCCAGGTGTGTTAAATAAACCTAAACTCACACTGCCCCTTGGAGGCAGATCTGAACCCCTTGGTTCAGATCCAGGTGCTGTCAGCTAGGGCAAAGGCTCTTGGCCACTGTCTGCTGGCAGGAGACCTAGAGGCTTACCCTTGCTTGTCCAAGGTAGTCTTCATCCAGCAGGTGGAGGGGTCCCTGCGGTATAAGCCCACGGAGAAGCCTGGATGCATGGAAGTATCTTTGGAAGCTTAACAGTCGTTTCACCTTTTTCTTGGTGCCAATTTCCCCTGAGTGTGTTGTATCTGTGGAAAGTAACCATAAGCAGAATTTCATGCATTTAAAAGAGGGATAATTTTTTTTCTGTGTAAAGTATAATCTATTAAAAATGAGAGACATTTAAAGACACTTTAAGGGCTAAATAGAGTTGAATAAGCTCTATTGATGTTTGAAAGTTCTTCTAATAAATGAAACAAACAAACAAACAAACAAACAAAGAAGTGAGCTTCCTGCCTTTTCTCTTCTCTGTTATTCTTTCTCTCATCCTTTGACAGGGTCTTGTATGTAGCCCAGGCTTGACCTCAAATTCATGATCTTCCTGCAGAGGCTCTTGAGTCCTGGGATTACCATCTATAGCTTGGTGTTTGTTACATAGTTTACATATACTTTTTAAAAAACATAATTTCGGATGACATGAACTGTATGAGTTAAAAACTTCACTTTTTGGTTGGTTAAGTTCTCTTCAGATGTTAGAAGGCCGTGAGAAAAAGGTTTCTTGCTTTCTAAGGACTATCATTGACAAAGTAATAAGGCAACATCATCTTAAGAGTAACCAACAGTGCTGGGAAAAAGCAAAGAGGACACACACTTTACAACCACGGCTCTAAGTGCCTCATCTAGGCAGCACAGATGCTTTCACGCTCATGTCTTGTGGCCCCTGCAACACCTTGATGCTGACATCATGGTGACTGCACAGAAATGTGCCAGGTACCATATGTGAAAGTCTGTCAAGGTATGTCTCATCTCAGACAAAACTCTTGAGTCACTCTAGGGCCACATAAGCGACGTCTTCAGCAAGGTTTGCATGTCAAGTCAGCTCAGGAGTCTAGCAGGAAAAAGGATAGCCAATATATAAAGTAATTTGTTTTTTTTCCATTTCTTCTCCCATCTCCTCATCTACCCTATGGCACTCAAAATTACTGCTAATGAGAAAAAGAAGGCCAGGGGAAACAGAGCAGCGACTGACCAGCATCTGAAACTCATTACTTGGCTGTATGAACCGTGGAAAGGCATAATTCAGGGCCACCAAGACCTGCTCTGCTCTCGAAACACTGCCTGATGAAAATTACTTGTATTTAGAACCAATCTCTATTTCACTCACGGAAAGAGGCAAAAATATGCACATGGAGCTAAGCAGAGAACGGCTGAGGTTGTGTTTGGGCTACATCAATATTAAGAATGCCATCTGTGGACTCCATTCTGCAGGCAGATTTTCCTGTCTACGAGGTTGGTAAAACAGAACATGAAGTGAAGGTTCTCATTTATTTACTAACAAAAAAACAAAACAAAACAAACACACACACAAACAAACAAACAAACAAACAAACAAAAAAACCAAAACTGAGGCTGGTGGTGGCTGGGAACACCTTTAATCTCAGCACTCTGGGAGGAGGGGAACGTGGATCTCTGTGAGTTCAAGGCCAGGCTGATCTACAAAGCAAGTTCCTGGACAACCAAGGCTACACAGAGAAAACCTGTCTTGAAAAACAAAACAAAACAAAACAAAACCAGAAAAACAAACAATAACAACAACAACGAAAGCAACTTGAATACCCTTTATGGGATATCCACTGCTCTAGACATTTCATTGAGCAAAGACAAATCTCTGCTCTCTCGGAATGGGCATGGCGGAGGGAGAGGGACAATGTCTAACATACAAGAAAAGGAATAATACAAAATGAAGATAAATGGGCAGGTAGGTACAGCTGGGGGTGGTGGTGTGGAGGATCAGAAATTCTGTGTTGGGAGCAGTCAGCACTGGCTAATGAGAAGACAGAATCTGACCCAAATTAGAGGCAATGAGGGCATTAACCGGGTAAATACCTTACCTTCCAGATACAGAAAGAGGATGAACCCACCCTCCGGAGTGGGGACATGCCTAGGATGCTGGGATGTGCAGTGAAAAGACGGATCAGTGTGTGTGTGAAGAGGAGAGAAAGGGTAGAATGAAGGATGAACTCCTGGAACAGCCTGGAAAGCAGAGTTCTCAAGAGTGCCCCCCCTCACCCCACCCGGTGTCTGCTTTTCCCTCCGGGCGTCCAACCCGGCTGGACTGGAGGGAATGAAGTTTGGCCTGTAGATGGGTATGATGCAGGACCTCAATCAGCAGTGAGTGCTTGAGAAAAAGCCTCCTGGGAAGACAGCTTCAGTGAGGAGCCCCTTTACTTGGTGACTGCAAAGGCGATTGAAGCCTGGGGAGTGAGTAAAGTGAGCAAAGGCTTTCAGGTGAGCTGGCCGCTGGCGGGGAGGGGGTGCTGGGAATGCTTCCTTTACGTGAAGAGGAAGTCCAGGTACTCTCTGGACACGACCTTATAAGGAGGAAATTTAACCTGTAACCTGGCTGACCTGGTGAGATGGCTCAGCATGTGCTTACTGCCAAGTGTGATGATCTGAGTTGAATCTCCAGGTCCCACATGGTGGAAGGCAAGAAACAACTCCACGAGTGTCTTCTGACCAACACACACACACACACACACACACACACACACACACACACACACACACACAC